GCTCTGCTCCCCCTCGCCTCTCCTTGTCTCTGGTGTCCCTCACCTCTCCTTGTCTCTGATGTCCCTCACCTCTCCTTGTCTCTGGTGTCCCTCACCTCTCCTTGTCTCTGGAGTCCCTCACCTCTCCTTGTCTCTGGTGTCCCTCACCTCTCCTTGTCTCTGATGTCCCTCACCTCTCCTTGTCTCTGGAGTCCCTCGCCTTTCCTTGTGTTTGGTTTTCCCCACCTCTCCATATCTCCGGCATCCCTCACCTCTCCCTTCTCTGGCATCCCTCGCCTTCCCTTGTTTGTGCCGTCCCCCGCCTCTCCTTGTCCTGTGTGTGGCGCCGAGGTGACAATACAGACGAGGAGGAAGCACTGAAGTGTGATAACGTGGCGGGAATTCTTCACCTGCCATTCACCTCTCCTTGTCTCTGATGTCCCTCACCTCTCCTTGTCTCTGATGTCCCTCACCTCTCCTTGTCTCTGGTGTCCCTCACCTCTCCTTGTCTCTGGAGTCCCTCACCTCTCCTTGTCTCTGGTGTCCCTCACCTCTCCTTGTCTCTGATGTCCCTCACCTCTCCTTGTCTCTGGAGTCCCTCGCCTTTCCTTGTGTTTGGTTTTCCCCACCTCTCCATATCTCCGGCATCCCTCACCTCTCCCTTCTCTGGCATCCCTCGCCTTCCCTTGTTTGTGCCGTCCCCCGCCTCTCCTTGTCCTGTGTGTGGCGCCGAGGTGACAATACAGACGAGGAGGAAGCACTGAAGTGTGATAACGTGGCGGGAATTCTTCCCCTGCCAAACCAATATTAAATAATTCACCGAGCGCTCTCTCTCCAATCTCCATCATAGCGAGACATCCGTTATCCTGCCACGCTGCTGTCACTCCGCCGGCACACGGCAGCCGTGCCAACGTAATCATTATCAGGGGAGAGAGATTCGTTCCTGGCTGCCTATCCGCGCTGTGTCATGGCAGCTCTTCTCTCACGGCTCCTTGAAGCACAATTCTGAGTTCTTTGCTGAAAAAGGAAACGTTGATATCCCGGCAACTGTGAATATTGAATCATCTCCGGCTGCGATACTCAGGTCCTCTCCGGCGATGTCCCCTAGAAAAAGTCCGCTCAGTCCTGCTGATGCCGCTGCTCTTCCAGGTTTTATGACACACGTCATCATCCAAGCCACTCCCTGTGAGCCCCGGGTGTCACGGACCCGCCCCCCGTGCAGACAAAAACTCAAAAATGCAAATTATTACCTCCCCTTCCTTGCTTTCAGTGATGCAGATTGGCCTATGATGTCATCAAAGTCATTTGTTTCAGTTTCTTTTTCTATACTTAGCAGAGCGAAATCACAGGGTCGCCCTTGACCACTTACATCAGACTCCCCAGAGTCCCTACTTACATCAGATCCCCCTTACATCAGACTCCCTCCTTACATCAGAGTCCCCAGAGTCCCTACTTACATCAGATCCCCCTTACATCAGACTCCCTCCTTACATCAGACTCCCCAGAGTCCCTACTTACATCAGATCCCCCTTACATCAGACTCACTCCTTTCATCAGAGTCCCCAGAGTCCCTACTTACATCAGATCCCCCTTACATCAGACTCACTCCTTACATCAGACTCCCCAGAGTCCCTACTTACATCAGATCCCCCTTACATCAGACTCACTCCTTACATCAGAGTCCCCAGAGTCCCTACTCATCAGATCCCCCACCTCTCCTTGTCCCTGGAGTCCCTCGCCTTTCCTTGGTCCCTACTTACATCAGAGTCCCTCCTTATATCAGACTCCCCAGAGTCCCTACTTACATCAGATCCCCCTTACATCAGACTCACTCCTTACATCAGAGTCCCCACAGTCCCTACTTACATCAGATCCCCCTTACATCAGACTCCCTCCTTACATCAGAGTCCCCAGAGTCCCTACTTACATCAGATCCCCCTTACATCAGACTCACTCCTTACATCAGAGTCCCCAGAGTCCCTACTTACATCAGATCCCCCTTACATCAGACTCACTCCTTACATCAGAGTCCCCAGAGTCCCTACTTACATCAGATCCCCCTTACATCAGACTCACTCCTTACATCAGAGTCCCCACAGTCCCTACTTACATCAGATCCCCCTTACATCAGACTCCCTCCTTACATCAGAGTCCCCACAGTCCCTACTTACATCAGATCCCCCTTACATCAGACTCACTCCTTACATCAGAGTCCCCAGAGTCCCTACTTACATCAGATCCCCCTTACATCAGACTCACTCCTTACATCAGAGTCCCCACAGTCCCTACTTACATCAGATCCCCCTTACATCAGACTCACTCCTTACATCAGAGTCCCCACAGTCCCTACTTACATCAGATCCCCCTTACATCAGACTCACTCCTTACATCAGAGTCCCCAGAGTCCCTACTTACATCAGATCCCCCTTACATCAGACTCACTCCTTACATCAGAGTCCCCACAGTCCCTACTTACATCAGATCCCCCTTACATCAGACTCACTCCTTACATCAGAGTCCCCACAGTCCCTACTTACATCAGATCCCCCTTACATCAGACTCACTCCTTACATCAGACTCCCCAGAGTCCCTACTTACATCAGATCCCCCTTACATCAGACTCACTCCTTACATCAGAGTCCCCACAGTCCCTACTTACATCAGATCCCCCTTACATCAGACTCACTCCTTACATCAGAGTCCCCACAGTCCCTACTTACATCAGATCCCCCTTACATCAGACTCACTCCTTACATCAGACTCCCCAGAGTCCCTACTTACATCAGACTCCCTCCTTACATCAGAGTCCCCACAGTCCCTACTTACATCAGATCCCCCTTACATCAGACTCCCTCATATCAGCATCCCCAGAGTCCCCAATTACAATAGAGTTCCCCTCATGAGTCCATTTCTCAAGCTGGTAGGCGGAGCACTGGAGGAGGCGGCTCACTGGAGAAAGTGGGTGGGCAGCTCACTAGAGGAGGCGGAGCCTCAGAGCACGGTGGGAGCGGGTGTGAATACCGGGAATGGACAGGGAGAGGAACACGTCATTGGTTGGTTGCTGGGATGCCAGCCGGTTCTAGCAACTAACCGTCAGCTGCAGGGGTTTGAAAAATGACAGCAGCCATCTGCTGGCTTTGCTGACCCATAGAGCGGAGCCCCCCCTTCAAGTGGCACCCAGGGCATGTGCCATATGTGCCATACCCCGGATAGGCCACCACCACCACTGGCATGTCATCACAGCACCCTGGGGTCACGGTACTGCTGCGCTCAATGGCACACACACCATTTTATAAGCAATGTTCTGTGCAGGAGCAAGGACCACCCACCACCAGAAAGG